TAAAGAAGTTATATTTTGCTTTACTTTTACGTGTATAAAAATTTAAAGGGCTTGATACAATAATTATCAATAAAAACTGTTTGTTACTATAAATGAATGCACTGGACTTTAAGAAACTTTCATCAGAAGCAAAAATATACTTTTCTAAATCAAATTTTCGCGTTGTTTTCAAATCTGCAATTACACTTTATCTATCAGTTCTAATTTTTTATATTATTACTAATTACATATAAAATAATAATTAAAAGAAAAAAAAATTGTTTTCAAATTATTACTGATTTGATTTTTAATATGTTAAAAATAATCAGTCCAAATTTTCATTTTTAACCTATTTTTTTGGTTCTTTAAAGTTGATGAAAAATTTTTGATAAAGATTTATGAAANATTTAATGAAAAATTTTTGAAAAAGATTTATGAAAGTTTATAGTAAAAAAACGGTAGCACATTGGGCTCGCGGCATAGTGGAGACATTGCATGGTAGGGTCCAGTATAGATTTAATCTGACAGTGATTAAAATCACTATCATAAGAAACGCTTCGATGCAAATCTGTAGATAGTGTTTAATTTTAAAAAATTGATGGATAATTGCAAAAGCAACATCAACTTCTATTAAAATAAAATACAAAACCCATAATTATCATACAAAAATAGTATATTTTTCAATATGGTAGCCATTTGCGTATAGAAGATAGATCGTCGGGACAAATTTTTTTTTTTCATTTTGTAGTACATAAAATAAGCTTTAATTTTATATATGTTTAAAGGACGCAGTATTTCCGGAACATTTTCAAAAGTTCAGTTGAAAAAGATCTATGTTTTTTACAATATTTTAAGTTTTGAACGCCCCCTATATAAGGGGAAATTGTCCAATTTTAATAAAAAGTATGTCAAATGAAAGATGTACTTATAATGTATTTAGAAAAAAAAAATTTGTGCTGATATATACATTTTTCAAAAAGTTATAGCATTTTTAAGTTGAAAATTTAAAATCGAAAATCGAAAATTTTAACACAAAAATAGTGTTTTTTTAAATACGACAGCCGTTTAAATTTAGAAAAAAAAGTGTCGGGACAAATTTTTTTTTTTCATTTTGTAGTACATAAAATAAGCTTTAATTTGATATATGTTTAAAGGACGCAGTATTTCCGGAACATTTTCAAAA